TGCGCCAAGATGGGCGCCCAATTTATTTGATTTGGAATAATAGTTCTCAGCAGTATCGCTTCTCGATAAACCAGGTAGATGGCTATGTCGGTATGGAAACAGAATTTATCATAGAGCCAATTGTTGACACCACTGACTTTTGGACCGGTACTTACACCACATGGACCACCGACGGAGACGGTAATATTATCGAGCAGATTCCTACTCCATCCGCTGACACCACAGCTGTATGGGATGGTACTTACACCACATGGACCACCGACGGAGACGGTAATATTATCGAGCAGATTCCTACTCCATCCGCTGACACCACAGCTGTATGGGATGGTACTTACACCACATGGACCACCGACGGAGACGGTAATATTATCGAGCAGATTCCTACTCCATCCGCTGACACCACAGCTGTATGGGATGGTACTTACACCACATGGACCACCGACGGAGACGGTAATATTATCGAGCAGATTCCTACTCCATCCGCTGACACCACAGCTGTATGGGATGGTACTTACACCACATGGACCACCGACGGAGACGGTAATATTATCGAGCAGATTCCTACTCCATCCGCTGACACCACAGCTGTATGGGATGGTACTTACACCACATGGACCACCGACGGAGACGGTAATATTATCGAGCAGATTCCTACTCCATCCGCTGACACCACAGCTGTATGGGATGGTACCTACACCACATGGACCACCGACGGAGACGGTAATATTATCGAGCAGATTCCTACTCCATCCGCTGACACCACAGCTGTATGGGATGGTACTTACACCACATGGACCACCGACGAAGAGGGCAATATTATCGAGCAGATTCCTACTCCATCCGCTGACACCACAGCTGTATGGGATGGTACTTACACCACATGGACCACCGACGATGAGGGCAATATTATCGAGCAGATTCCTACTCCATCCGCTGACACCACAGCTGTATGGGATGGTACTTACACCACATGGACCACCGATGATGAAGGCAATATTATCGAGCAGGTCCCTAGTCCATCTGCTGGCACTACTGCGATCTGGACTGGTACTGAAACTTCGTGGACTACTGAAGTTGGTGATGATGGAAGCAGTACAACCGTCAAGTTGATTCCTACTCCGTCTGCAGACACGACTGCGATCTGGACTGGTGATCACACCACATGGACCACCGATGATGAAGGCAATATTATCGAGCAGGTCCCTAGTCCATCTGCTGGCACTACTGCGATCTGGACTGGTACTGAAACTTCGTGGACTACTGAAGTTGGTGATGATGGAAGCAGTACAACCGTCAAGTTGATTCCTACTCCGTCTGCAGACACGACTGCGATCTGGACTGGTGATCACACCACATGGACCACCGATGATGAAGGCAATATTATCGAGCAGGTCCCTAGTCCATCTGCTGGCACTACTGCGATCTGGACTGGTACTGAAACTTCGTGGACTACTGAAGTTGGTGATGATGGAAGCAGTACAACCGTCAAGTTGATTCCTACTCCGTCTGCAGACACGACTGCGATCTGGACTGGTGATCACACCACATGGACCACCGATGATGAAGGCAATATTATCGAGCAGGTCCCTAGTCCATCTGCTGGCACTACTGCGATCTGGACTGGTACTGAAACTTCGTGGACTACTGAAGTTGGTGATGATGGAAGCAGTACAACCGTCAAGTTGATTCCTACTCCGTCTGCAGACACGACTGCGATCTGGACTGGTGATCACACCACATGGACCACCGATGATGAAGGCAATATTATCGAGCAGGTCCCTAGTCCATCTGCTGGCACTACTGCGATCTGGACTGGTACTGAAACTTCGTGGACTACTGAAGTTGGTGATGATGGAAGCAGTACAACCGTCAAGTTGATTCCTACTCCGTCTGCAGACACGACTGCGATCTGGACTGGTGATCACACCACATGGACCACCGATGATGAAGGCAATATTATCGAGCAGGTCCCTAGTCCATCTGCTGGCACTACTGCGATCTGGACTGGTACTGAAACTTCGTGGACTACTGAAGTTGGTGATGATGGAAGCAGTACAACCGTCAAGTTGATTCCTACTCCGTCTGCAGACACGACTGCGATCTGGACTGGTGATCACACCACATGGACCACCGATGATGAAGGCAATATTATCGAGCAGGTCCCTAGTCCATCTGCTGGCACTACTGCGATCTGGACTGGTACTGAAACTTCGTGGACTACTGAAGTTGGTGATGATGGAAGCAGTACAACCGTCAAGTTGATTCCTACTCCGTCTGCAGACACGACTGCGATCTGGACTGGTGATCACACCACATGGACCACCGATGATGAAGGCAATATTATCGAGCAGGTCCCTAGTCCATCTGCTGGCACTACTGCGATCTGGACTGGTACTGAAACTTCGTGGACTACTGAAGTTGGTGATGATGGAAGCAGTACAACCGTCAAGTTGATTCCTACTCCGTCTGCAGACACGACTGCGATCTGGACTGGTGATCACACCACATGGACCACTGAAGTCGGTGACGATGGAAGCAGCACAGTCGTTGAGCTTGCACCTTCGGAAAGTGGTACTTCTACAAACGTTATGCAAACACCAGTCCCTAGTTTTGGAGTTGATAACGGAGCTTCTCGTTCTGACGGATTTAACGTTGCAGTTTACCATTATCCTGCAGATAATTACGAACTTGCCAATGAAATCAGTTTTATGAGCTTTGGGTATGAGAACCTGGGACTAGTGACAACGGCTACTGGTGTAAGCAACATTAACTTTGACACTGATTTGAGTTGGCCTTATTACATTGACAGAGATGATTTGGGTAATACCGGATCATACGTCAACGCAACCATAGAGTACGAAGGATTTTTCAGAGCTCCAGTGGATGGAGAGTACGAATTTTTGTTCAGTAATACTGACTACAACTCAATTTTGTTTTTGGGAAGTACTACTGCTACTGATCAGTCTTTGCAAAAGCGTGAGGTGCAGTTCCTGAAACCTAAAACAAGTCTCAACTATGCTCTGTTTTTCGACAACACTAGGGATTTGGGGCAGACTATAAGTACCACGCAGTACCTCTCAACAGACAGCTATTATCCCTTACGAGTTGTGCTTGCTGCAGTATCGCAACATGCTTTACTGGATTTCCAGATCAAGCTACCAGATGGTGATTTGTTGACCCAGTACGAAGGGTACGTTTACAACTTTGCTCTGAAGGAATCTGAGTCGTCTACGATAACTGCTGATAAGACTTCTACCTGGACTGGAACTTACACTACATGGACCACAGACTCTGATGGAAGCACGATAGTAGTTGTTCCGACTTCGACTGTCACTGCTGATGAGACCTCCACTTGGACTGGATCGTACACCACCTGGACTACAGATTCTGATGGTAGCACCATCGTGCTATGTCCTTCAAGCACTAGTGACCACCACGATAAGCCCGGGGCCAGTGAAACCACTTTGACCGATGGTAGTATTTCGACTACCGTTGTGACGGTGACCAGTTGTGGCATTAAGAAGTGCACCAAGACTACTGAATTAACCGGGGTCACGCAGACAACTCTTACTACCGACGGTGCGACTACGGTTGTAACAACCTACTGTCCTTTGCCAACCGACATTGTCACTGTGAAGACAATAACCGTTAGTGGAAGTGAAGTTTTGCAAACAATCTATACGGCAAAACCTAGCCCTGTTGTCCCAGATGTACAAACTTCGACGGTTACAATTACAAGAGAGGTGTGTGACGCTTACACCTGCACTCAAGCTACCATTGTAACTGGGGAAATTCTGCAGACTACCACCATTGCCGATACCCACTCAACAAGTGTTGTTCCAGTTTATGTTCCATTGGATACTCCTGAACCGACAGTTGAGCTGAGTACTCTCGAAACTGTTTTCCAGTCTTCTGACTTTGCCAGTGGATCTACTGTAACCGTTGAGACAGCCCCACCATCATACCAATCTGGTGGGGTAGCTGAAAGTAGTGTGGCCATATCTGAGTTTGAGGACTACAGTACATCTGACACAGTCTCCCAACCTTCTTCAACGATTTCTTTGCAAACTGGAGAAGCAAACGCCCTGACATGGTCATCGTTCCTGGGAGCAGCAGTGATTCCACTCGTTAACGTGCTTTTCATTTAGATGCCCCTTTTTTTATTTTTCATTTTCATTTAACCTTATTTACTTCTAAATGTTTTTCTTTTTTCATTGTATGCTTGCAATAGTTGTTGGAGACCCCATACTCGTTTTCGATCCCCAACAAACGTTCAATAGCTCAGAATAGAATGTTTTGAACTCTTTGATGGCTGATTCATACTGGACTAAACTCGTTACACTTTATGAAAAAACTGTTGCCATCGCGAACAATCTCTGGATGTTTGGATGTTTTAAATTGCGGTAGGATCTTTCTTTTGATGATTTGCCGCGCGCAAAGAAATCATAAATCTGCTGTGTGTGCGTAAAGCAGTAATAATCACTGCGCGCAAGTTGTGCATGCATGAGCGCCGCGTCAAGTTATATGATGTCACTGAACAATAGCTGGAATAAACTTTTGTATTTGTTTAGTCTTCCCTAGAATGATAGACACACACAAATTAGTGTTACAAGCAAACATCATTATGCCAATCACAAAATGAAAATTGAAATCATTGGCACGGCCACATGGGCCTTGAGACAATTTCAACTGTAATGTGATCATCATATCAACCCTTTTAGTAAGTAGCCCTGAATTGGCCCATCTTATCCACACTGTTTTATTTATGTAGTAGTGATTGGCTCATTATGTACCATACCTGATGGTCAGTGAGCAGTCATCGATAATGGTAAAAGAACACGTTTGGCTTTCAGGTGTTTTTGAACACTCCACTGTTGATATGGAAGTGTTGGTGAAAGTAGGTCATGACTTCTGCCTTTTGACTGAGGGCAAAGTGAAAGATAGAAAGAAACTGTAGTGCTTGCTGATTGGAGTCGTGCCCCTGTGTTCCTAAAGATGGGAAAAAAGAGGTAGACGTAGTTATTAAGGGTCTGAAGGATCACTTAGTCTGTCAACCTTCTAAACGGTCAACTTGAGTTTTGAGGAGATTCCAAGGGCGTTAGCATGGCTAGAATTTAATAGAGTGAATGTGTGAACCCTCTCCAACTGATCAGCGTAAATGTACGCTATTATCTTTGTTATGGAGTATATATAGGGAACTCTCAATGTCTCGAAGAAATGGTACGAAAACGGGATTGTATCGCGTATTTCTTCCATTGATACTTTGTTAATCAGAGCGATACTGAAACTGGAAAACCAGCTATTGTTCCAAGTTACCTTTTTGTTTGGTGTTCTACATGTTGCATTTCTTTTCAGGCGGGCGATATATCATATATGGAATCATCCATTGAGGTTACGAAGGGCATTCTCAATTTCACTTATGCTTTGAACTGATGTTATTGAACAGAGATGGAGATAAGGGAACTTCTAACATCGTTTAGTATCTTGCAGAATACCTATCATGTCTGTGGATATGGATGCAACTCCAAGATTGCAGAAAGAACTTGAGAAGGTAAATTGGAGTCAGCGGATGTATATGGAACAGAAAAAAAGTGATCATCCATGCATCTTTACACACTGCTTAGTTTTTTATTCAGATACTCTCAAATCCGAGGCCAAAATGAACTAGGAGAATGATGTTCGCTTTTCAAACTAGAAATTAGGAGATGTAACTTGTTTCCCATACGAGAATAACTATCACCGGAACATACGAATCTGTATGATATATTTAAACTCGGTGCCAACTATACGTTTCAAATCTGAATCTGTTTGGTTCAAGTCTATATGAGCACGGTGGTGTACTTAAATGGGACATGGAAATGTTATCGGGCACTGAGACTCGATCAATGGTAACTTTCGGCATTAAAATTTGGTATTTGTATGGATGGCACTTCATACATGACATCAATAGTAGAAAGAGTTAAAAAAGCCATTTACGGCAGTGTTGGGCTGGAATAATACGGCTAGATTGTATGAGTGACGAGAAGTTGGCTAATATTGCTCAATTCTAAACTTCGGAAGAACATAGGCACACTGTTAACGAAAAGAATACCATAATTTGAGAGTAGGGAACAATACTTTATCCACCAAGCCAAACTCAGTTTCCAAGGCGGATTTGGAATGGCAATTCACTTAGCTACAAATTTCCATGGTTGGGACAAGTCTATAACCAGTACGATCCTAAGTGACCCAATAAGTATCAAGTAGTAAGGAGAAAATTGCAAATGGAGGTTCTTCACTGTGTTTAGCAAAGCCAGCCTTTTGAGGTCTGAACCATAATTATTGTAGCTCAAACTTCATGTCAAGAGTTTATAAAGGTTATACCGAAATCCCACTAATCATAAATACGAGAGAATAAGGCCCGATTAATTGGTAGCACAGTTACATTGTATCATAGAATATTCTATTTTGAAGATTGTCCTGAACATGTCATTTATGCTACTAGGACTGTGTACGAAAGATTTGCTCACTAGTGTAATTGAAAACACAGTGTAAGTTTATTCTTCATCCGAAGTATCACTAAACATGGAAAGCAGAACTGAATTTCATGACATTGTAATATTGTATTTAGAATAATCAGGAAGATAATAACATTTATGCACTTTCAACTTTGGAGTTCCTTACAAAAATATTATACTACTGTTATGATACTTGCATTTCAATAATTACGTAACCAATAGTTACGCTTACGGTGTCATTGCTCACAGTTGAAATCAGTCGCAACACGAAGTAGGGATCCATGTGAGACTAGGCAGTACGGTAAAAGAAGAAGCAATAGCTGCTAATAAGTATGATGAACATATTTTATTCTTGTTATAAATGGATTGATACTATTAAGTAATGGTAACGATAACTTTAATCCTCCACTATACTGAACATTAACTAAACATTACACTAATTAATCATAAATCATTATGCTATTTTGACATGGATATCTATATACCCTTCACCTATACATCTATCTTACTTCGCTATCATTTTAATAATTCAGTTATGCCGTTGGCTTGTAATAGTTTATAGTTTGATTAGTAATGATTCGTCAAATTGGCGTCAAGATTATCATTGAAATTACTAACAGTATGAGGAAAGATGTTCACTAACGAATTTTCAAGAACATCAATCGATGAACTTTGAAATTTGTCTCAATAAGTCAACACTTTTTCATCATTCAAAAACGATTTGAAAATGGAAGAAAATTCAGTAAATACCTCACAAAAT